CATCCCTGACAGATGTCTATCTAACCTGTTCTTAAATATCTCCAGAGAGGGAGATTCCACCACCTCCCTTGGCAATTTATTCCAATATTTGACCACCCTAACAGTTAGGAATTTTTTCCTAATGTCCAATCTAAACCTCCCCTGCTGCACTTTAAGCCCATTACTCCATGTCCTGTCCTCAGAAACCAAGAGGAACAAATTTTCTCCTTCCTCCTTGTGACACCCTTTTAGATATTTGAAAACCACTATCATGTCCCCCCTTAATCTTCTTTTTTCCAAACTAAACAAGCCCAGTTCATGAAGCCTGGCTTCATAGGCTTCTCTAGACCTTTAATCATTCTTGTCACTCTTCTCTGTACCCTTTCCAATTTCTCCACATCTTTCTTGAAATGTGGCGCCCAGAACTGGACACAGTACTCCAGCTGAGGCCTAACTAGTGCAGAATAGAGCGGCAGAATGACTTCACGAGTTTTGCTTACAACACACCTGTTGATACAACCTAGAATCATATTTGCTTTTTTTGCAACAGCATCACACTGTTGACTCATATTCAACTTGTGGTCCACTATGACCCCTAGATCCCTTTCCGCCATGCTCCTTCCTAGACAGTCGCTTCCCATCTTGTATGTATGGAACTGATTGTTCCTTCCTAAGTGGAGCACTCTGCATTTCTCCTTATTAAACCTCATCCTGTTTACCTCTGACCATTTCTCTAACTTGCTAAGGTCATTTTGAATTATGTCCCTATCCTCCAAAGAAGTTGCAACCCCACCCAGTTTGGTATCATCTGCAAACTTAATAAGAGTACTCTCTATCCCAATATCTACATCATTGATGAAGATATTGAACAGTACGGGTCCCAAAACAGACCCTTGAGGAACTCCACTTGTTATCCCTTTCCAGCAGGATTTAGAACCGTTAACAACAACTCTCTGACTACGGTTATCCAGCCAATTATGCACCCACCTTATCGTGGCCCTATCTAAGTTATATTTGCCTAGTTTATCAATAAGAATATCATGCGAGACCGTATCAAATGCCTTACTAAAGTCTAGGTATATGACATCCACCGCTTCTCCCTTATCCACAAGGCTCGTTATCCTATCAAAGAAAGCTATCAGATTAGTTTGGCATGACTTGTTCTTCACAAACCCATGCTGGCTATTCCCTATCACTTTATTACCTTCCAAGTGTTTGCATATGATTTCCTTAATTACCTGCTCCATTATCTTCCCTGGGACAGACGTTAAACTGACCGGTCTATAATTTCCTGGGTTGTTCTTATTCCCCTTTTTATAGATGGGCACAATATTTGCCCTTTTCCAGTCTTCTGGAATCTCCCCTGTCTGCCATGATTTTTCAAAGATCATAGCTAAAGGCTCAGATACCTCCTCTATCAGCTCCTTGAGTATCCTGGGATGCATTTCATCAGGACCTGGTGACTTGCTGACATCTAACTTTCCTAAGTGATTTTTAACTTGTTCTTTGTGTATCCTATCTTCTAAACTTACCCTCTCTCTGCTTGTATTCACTACGTTAGGCACACCTCCAGACTTCTCGGTGAAGACCGAAACAAAGAAGTCATTGAGCATCTCCGCCATTTCCAAGTTCCCTGTTACTGCTTCTCCCTCCTCACTAAGCAGTGGGCCTACCCTGTCCTTGGTCTTCCTCTTGCTTTTAATGTATTTATAAAAGGTCTTCTTGTTTCCCTTTATGCCTGTAGCTAGTTTGATCTCATTTTGTGCCTTTGCCTTTCTAATCTTGCCCCTGCATTCCCGTGTTGCTTGCCTATATTCATCCTTTGTTAGTTGTCCTAGTTTCCATTTTTTATATGACTCCTTTTTTATTTTGAGATCATGCAAGATCTCCTTGTTAAGCCAAGCTGGTCTTTTGCCATATTTTCTATCTTTCCTACACAGCGGAATTGTTTGCTTTTGGGCCCTTAACAACGTCCCTTTGAAATACTTCCAACTCTCCTCAGTTGTTTTTCCCTTCAGTCTTGCTTCCCATGGGACCTTACCTACAAGTTCTCTGAGCTTATCAAAATCTGCCTTCCTGAAATCCATAACCTCAATTGTGCTGGTCTCCCTTCTACCTTTCCTTAAGATCATGAACTCTATTATTTCATGATCACTGTCCCCTATACTGTCTTCCACTTTCAAGTTCTCAACTAGTTCCTCCCTATTTGTTAAAACCAAATCCAGAACAGCTTCTCCTCTGGTAGCTTTTTCAACCTTCTGAAACAGAAAGTTGTCTCCAATGCAGTCCAGAAACTTATTGGATAGCCTGTGCCTCGCTGTGTTAGTTTCCCAACATATGTCTGGATAGTTGAAGTCCCCCATCACCACCAAATCTTGGGCTTTGGATAGTTTTGTTAATTGTTTAAAAAAGGCCTCATCCACCTCTTCCACCTGGCTAGGTGGCCTGTAGTAGACTCCTAGCATGATATCACCCTCGTTTTTTACCCCTTTTAGCTTAACCCAGAGACTCTCTACACAGCTATCTCCTACGTTCATCTCCACTTCAGTCCAAGTGTGTACATTTTTAATATACAAGGCAACCCCTCCTCCCTTTTTTCCCTGTCTGTCCTTCCTGACAGAATGTGCTCAGCATGTTTGTCTTAGACCTGCCCACTCTTCCCTGTTGAAGAAACAAAAACATGAACAGGGAAGAACTGTTCATTCTTCTTTTAAAAGACTAGGGGGGCAGTGTCCCCTGCTCTCTCTGCTTCCAAACTCAGCCTGCCCTGACCCTCCTTTCTCCTTGCCATTATAGGCTGTAGTCCCCCCCATTTCCAACCCATCTCCCAGTCGCGCACATTCAGCACTTACCTGTGGGCTTTGCTCACCTGTCCCCGTCGAACCTAGTTTAAAGCCCTCCTCACAAGGTTAGCCAGTCTGTGTCCAACTCTGTGTCTTGCATATAACTTTATACCACAAACGAGGACTGAACAAATGTGTGTATGTGGCCCCAATGATTGCTCCTTTCCTAATGGTACCAATACGTGACGCTCGGTATATTCTCAATAGCGAGGATCTACTGAAATAATTTGGCGCTCAGAAATTCAGTAAACTGTGTCAGTCTCCAGCCCTGTTCTATCTTTAAACTCTTGGTGAGATTGTCAACTGGGAAGTTAATAGTGGTGGTGCCTCTGATACAGGAGCCTTATTGCTGAATATTTTACCATTCCTCCTTTAGAAAGGAATGAATGGTTTCATCAGGCTTTGGCTACATGTGAAGTTTTATGATTAACTCAGTAGGAACCAAGAAGTGAATCAAGGAAAGTCCTTGGTTTTCTGCCAAGCCATGAGCCAGTGAAAGCTTCAGATGATTAGTTTGACACGGAAAACATATCTCTTATCTATTGTACAGTCCATGCATTGTTACTGATTTGCATAACTGTTCTAACAGTGTTTCTCTTATGTTAAAGACAGTACTTTAGTGTTTCCATTTTCATCCCTGCCAAATGCATTGTATGCTTTATCCCAAAACACAGGATCTCTGACTCCTTTTCATTCAGCTTCATTCAATGCCTAATATTTGAAAAAAAATTAAAGAATGTTTCCTTGTTTGCTCACTTTAGAAATACAGAAACATCAGATCACTTCATTTTCAGTTCTAAAGATTATCTGTAAATCTCTAAAACAGTTTTTTAAAGAAAATCCGCACATAGCTTGATTTATAGCAACACTTGCAGACCCTATTGCAATGATGCACCAGTTTACAATAATGCTTCCTTTCAGTAGTAGCATGTAGGTGCTGACTGCCATCTTGGCTTTTGTCATCTTTACTTTAGAACACAATACCTCTAAAGGTAACTTTAAGGGCTAATAACATTATAAGCCACAAATGAGAGGTTTAATCTATAAAGAACAGAAATTTTCATTTTTAATAAATGTTGCATTGAAAAATGAAGTAAGCCCATTGTAGCCATATAAGAAAAATGAATTAAATGTGGTTGTCCTTTGATTCATTACGAGAGAGGCATATTTGAAACAGTAGCTACAGTAAACTTCCAATAATCCGGAACCTATGGTACCTAGGTGATGCCGGATTAACAGATATGCCGGAGTATCAGGAGGTACTATAAGCTGGTTTTATATATATACATAGTGTGTGTGTGTGTGTGTGTGTGTGTGTATACACTGTATATAAAGTGTTAACCCTTTTTATTGTACATACTGTATACAGTATACTGTAATGTTTTAGTTTTTTAACCCTTTTTTTATCCTTTTCGCTCAGTTCAGCTGCTGCTGCTGTTATCTTGTGACTCATTTTTTGCCAAAGCTCACTCACTAGGCTCTTGCCATTTTGATGCCAGACTATCAGGAGTGCCAGACTATTGGGCTGTGTCTACACTGGGCCACTTATTCCGGAAAATCAGCCGCTTTTCCGGAATAAGCTGCGAGCTGTCTACACTGGCCCTTGAATTTCCGGAAAAGCAATGATGCTCTACTGTACAAAATCAGCCGCTATTCCGGAAAAACTATTCTGCTCCCGCTCGGGCATAAGTCCTTATTCCGGAACACTGTTCTGGAAAAGGGCCAGTGTAGACAGCCCAGAAGTCTTTTCCGGAAAAAAGTCCCGATCGCGAAAATAGTGATCGGGGCTCTTTTCCGGAAAAGCGCATCTACATTGGCCACAGACGCTTTTCCGGAAAAAGGGCTTTTCCGGAAAAGCAGCCTGCCAATGTAGACGCTCCTTTTCCGGAAAAACTGAAAACGGAATAGTATTCTGTTTTAAGCATTTCCAGAAATTCATGCCAGTATAGACACAGCCTTGGAGTTTTACTGTATTTAAATAATTTTTTCCTTGAAAGGTTCTGAATAGTCTTTGTGCTTGTAACCACAAGACAGACAATACTTATTTGCATTTTTAAGTTGCTTGAAAATAGAGTATACCCTTTTTGATTTTTAGTACTTCCTAATCTTGTGAAAGAGAGTGGGGTGTTGGCTGAAAATGTTAGAACATAGATTATTTATTTTATTTTACTGTTTTAGGTTATTTTAAGTTCCATGATAAAGGAGTGTGAACAGAAAGTGGAAAACAAGACCGTCCAAGAACCGCAAGGGTAAGAGATCCACTCTTTCATCCTTCAAAAAAAAAAGCCACCAGCTTTTTTTAAGAGTTCGGAGGATTTTGTGGGCATCTTCCTGAATACTGGGCTGTTCTCTAGTCCAAGGCTTAAACCTGTGAATCCTGTCCTGCCATGGTCTATATTTAGAAATAGATTTCAGGAATTTGGTAAAACTCTGTTTGTAGTTGTTGCTATACCCAGTATAAAATGTCAGGCAGTGCACTTTCATCCACTTGGTGAAAATAAAGTTCTTGTTTTTTCATATTGTTTTGTTCTTATGCTTCTAACCCATCAGAAGCAGTACTTGAAGTATTGTCTAACAGGCTGCTGGAAGAATTACATTTACGCACAATCTATTACTCTTTCAGAAAAGAAAAAATATTTTCAGCCTAATAAATGAGACCCTTTAAGTTGTGGGAATTCATCAGTATTGGTTGGAAAGCTTATAACGTGAAAATAATTGAATGGTAGAGAAAAAAAATTAGTGTCAGTTTCCAGCTTTGGCATTGATTTTTCTGTGTGACTTTGAGCAAGTCACTTAACCTCTTCATCACCTTATCTTTAAAATGTTGGTAAAGCTACTTCTCAGGGTGACTAGGCTTAATTCTCACATCACTTAGGAAATTAGAAAAGGCAAGGTTTGTAAGCGTATGTTGCTGAATAGAACTAGTTTTAGTGTGGAGAATAGGTTTCAAACAGATCTTGTATAGTCTTAGACATGGCTGTTAGTACTTAAGATGATGTGTGCTGTTTGTAATTGATGGTGAATAGATCGTATAAGAAGAATTGAACAAATCCTGCAGCGGTTAGCATCAGAGCAACATTTGAAGATATGCCTGAAATCTTGACTAAGTCCACAAAGACTTTTATACAATGCCTAGATTGTAAACCAACTTTTTTCTCAGTCCTGGTCATACTGTAAGAATAATTAATTGATTTTGGGTAGTCATAGATGTCTCTTTGAGGGAGAAGAAATTCAAAAACTTTATAATCTTTGCAGAAAGAAAGCATTTAAACATTTGTACCTTTTTTGCTCTCCTAACAATGGAAAAAGATAGCAGGGATCATATAGGGCTGGTAGCCAGTATATTTTCTAGGTTCAAACCTGCCATATTAAAAAACTAACTAAGGAAGCCTTTCAGAGCTTTATTTCACTATGCAGTTTTCAACTTTCATTGTATTTCTTCTCTATCTTTTCCCATTCCTCTGGGTGAAAGCAGAATTAGAGGAGAAAGGACAAGGCATGAAGTGAAATCATTCAAAGTAGTCATTCTTCAGTGATCTTAATGTTAATTTGCTCTCTGAAGAGTACCAAAAGGTGGAGGGAGCAACACAACAGGCAACAAAGTAGCAAGGGAGAAAGAGGGAAGTAGTCATTTTTCTGCACTGGTGACCAAGCACTGGTTAGTGTGGTTAAAGACAACATGCATGAGGTGTTCTCCAGTTTCAGGAAAACCAGGCAGGAGGGACAGGGGAAAACAAGAAGAGGGACGGAGTAAGAGGAGTCAAGAAATACAACAGAAAAATAGATCAGACACAAGAAAAGCAGAGGTGACTAAAACTTGGATCAAAGAATGAGAAATTGAAAAGACAAAGAATAAATAAAGCAGAATACATTGAGATATCCCTGGTGTCTTTTGAGGGGTTTGACTAGGTGATGCTATGGGCCTGGCTATCTAGCACAGTAAACAGCAGCTGATGGCCACTACTTGCAGCATTAAAAGTGTTGGTTGCTGCACCTGCAATAAGAGGACTTGGCTTGGCCCCAGCATAGTCTGCCACAGTGTCTCCTTGGTATATATTGAAAACCATAAACATGATGATTACTCCCATTAGCCAGTCCTAACTTCATTTCTCAATTCTAAACATGTGTTTTGCACATGAGCATTCTTTAGTAGAGCTTTCTCTGCTCTGTGCCCTCGGTATCATTTTTTTTAGCTGTGCCAGTAGCACCCACAAAGGACAATTAGAACACAGCATTTTGGTGTACTGTGCAATTCACACCCCTGCAAACTGTGCTGGGAGGCAGTATAAACATAGTTTAAGCTCCTTTGGGGAGATGAGTGTTGGCCTTATATCAAAAGCAACTGTTTTCACGTAGAAGCATTGATGGTCTGCTCTTTTTCATTGAACAGAAGAGTTACTTTGGATGGTATTCTTTTCTGTTAAGTGTCTATCTCAAAGTGGTCTGTAGACCCACTCTGAGAAAGCTGCTACTAGGCGGCCCTGGTTTGTTTGTTTACTTCACTTGGTTAGTTTACAGAGCCTCACAGCGCCCATTAGGTGTGGTTAGCCGTTTGCAGCCAATGGGAGCTGCACGAAGCATTGTGGCGCCTGGGCTGCTGCTTCCTGTGGCTCTCCTTAGCTGCAAACAGCAAACCGGAGTCAGTGGGAGCCGTGAGGCTCCATGTCTGTGGAGCTTGTAAATAAACAGGAGCAGCCAGTTAGCAGATTTCTGTGTGTTCCGCTGACCACTTGGAGAAACTCTGCTCTATGTGGACAGAATTGGTTTTTAATAAGGCATATTGTATTATCTCTTTGTGGCTTTAGTCTAATAGCTATTTTAAAGATAGATTAGCCACAGTCTTAAAAACAAATTAGTAAAAAGCACAGTAGTACCAAAATAATTTGAATAAAAATGTAATATTTTACAACTGAAGAAAACATTCTTGATACCACATTGAGTATTTCCTGTGCAGCGTGGATACAAAAATAAGTGCTACGTGTGCATCAGTGATGCTGCATCCAATTAATTTCCTTCTTGAACGCTAAATACTGAGAAGTAAGATTGAAAAAGAGAAGTCTTCACGTGTCACGCTTGTTTCCTTTGTTTGACCTTCCCTTTTTTGTATTAGATTTCTGTTGCAACATTGCTAAAACAAATGTAAAAATTTGATAGAAAATATTTTGACTTAAGGTATATACTATCAAACTTCCTCCTAAAGCCAAATCAAAACTGGGGGTCATTTTATTAGAAACGTTACATATTTCATACGGGTTTTTTTAAAATACATTATTCAATGGATTTAAGTGTAACCAAAAGACAAGCAAGTTACCAGTGCTTAGGAATGTGATGCAATGACAGATTTAGCCTAAATCACAAAAACGAGAATTAATCAATCAGTTGTGGATATTTACTTACTACGGTTCATCACATTTTCTTTTCTTATGTTAGAAAAATTGATCAGATTCTGAGATCAAAAAGGAACATGACATGTTTTGATTTTAAATCAGAGAATCAAGTATGGGAAATCCTAAAACTGTTGTATAGAAAATAAATTTAAATACATATATATATGACAAAATAGTTTGCTCTTAAGTAACCAATTTGTTTTAAAAAGGTGACTACTTTTTTTTTTTTTCTTTTACAAAGAGCACGGTTATGCGAATGCAGTTTTTTGAATATTTTGGCCTGAAGCATCACCACAAACTTAAGGGAGTACTGTGTTGCACGTACTACATGTAGACATTAGGCAAATTAATGTTTAAAAACTACTTTCCTGTATAATGAAATATATATTATGATAAAACAGAACTGACTGCATCATTTAACATAAACTAACCGGCTTTAAATTTACAATTTAAACAAAAACAAATCTTAATCCTTTGGAACAAATGATCAAATTTCTCACCAAATCAGAGTGTTTAATTATTTAAACATGTTTAACTATTTAGCTTGGTAATGCTAGATATGTTTTATATACATACTTGTCAAATGTTTCTACCTGTCTAGATTATAATATTGTAATAATGTTGTTGGTGCAAATCTGAACATTAACATTCCCAATTTTTAACTTGTTCTAAGCTCTAAAGTATTCAAGAAACTGACATGTTGTTAGCTGTGATGCTGAGTACATGTCCAAGTTGCAAAGAGCTCTGTGTAAGCTCAGAAGAAGATACTGTATCACTCACCTTTGTGTGTCTAAAGTTCTGATGTTTTCCTAAATCTTTGTTTTATATGATACTTTAAGAAAGAACACATGTTTTTCAGTACATATGGATTAGTTCATTGTGGAACATAGGGCCTAAGGACCTGTACAGACAATTCACTTTAGTGGGATGCAGCTTGACTCAGTTGCAACACAGTCTTCCTTCTGGGATCAGGGCCAGCAGGCAGGACACTCCTGGCGCCCAGCCCCACTCCTGGGGATCTCCCTGCCATCCTGCACTGCCACTGCCTCTGATACAGAGGCAACAGTGCGCAGCAGCAAGCATCTCCCTTGCATGCTCTTGATTTAAAACTTGGAGTGGTTGGTATGTTGGAGTTAACCAGGACTGTTAGCCAATAAGTAGTCACTTATTAGTTACCTGGGTAAGCTCTAACATCTCTAGTCCATTTTGTATGCCAGGTATCTTTTTCTTCACATTCAATCCCACCACGTTCATTTACTCTCCAACACCATGATAGCAGTCGTGTTACACCAACAACAGGTATCACCTTTGGAACTAATGTTCTACCCTAACCACACATCGGAATTGAACAGTGCCTCTCTGCAACCTCTTCTGCAAATGAAGCATTCTGTGCTGGGATCTTATTTGCACTCACAAGACCCACAGGTTGCTGCTTTATTGTTCCAAGAGCGCCTAGGGGAAGACTTGCAGGGGGGCACTCTTTTCCTGGTCTGGACAGGTGACGTCTGCTACACCTCCACCTATTCCCATCCATCCATAAGTAGTTGAACAAGATTCAACAGGACCGAGATACTGAGGTTATAGCCCCATTCTGGCCCCATCAGTTTTGGTTCACCAACCTCTTCAAACTCTCCACCTGAACACGGCTCCACCCTGGAACATTCATGGATCTTCTCTCACAAGATTGAGGCCAACACAAGCATCCTACCCTGGACCCTCTTCATTTGGGGATCTGTTTTTGGATAGAGGTTGTAGTAGACAAAGCTTGTTCCATCGTCGTATGACACATCATTGCCTGAAGCAAGAGGGCTTTCACCAGAGCCTGCTACCAAGTTAAATGTAGACAGTTCATCTCATGGTCTCACTGCTGTCACCACCGATTGAGTACAAGTTGCCTATCATCCTCAATTACCACATCAAGCTCAAAATGTCTGGCCTTCCCTAAGTTCTATGCAGATCTGCCTGGCAGCCCTTAATGCCTCCCGCCTCTTCTCCCCCTCTCCTCTCCTCCGCCCCCGAAGGGTGCCTCTGTTTACACATCTTACCCCATTTTGCTTCATGAAACATCACCTCAGTACCTTCCTGGCAGTACTGTGGCCCATGTCTATGTGAGACATTCTCTCTTACATTCTCTTGTCGTCTAGCACAAGGTCACCTTTAACCTGGCAGCCCTTAATGCCTCCCGCCTCTTCTCCCCCTCTCCTCTCCTCCGCCCCCGAAGGGTGCCTCTGTTTACACATCTTACCCCATTTTGCTTCATGAAACATCACCTCAGTACCTTCCTGGCAGTACTGTGGCCCATGTCTATGTGAGACATTCTCTCTTACATTCTCTTGTCGTCTAGCACAAGGTCACCTTTAACCCTGTCTGCCCCCCCCCCTCCAAAAATGGTGTTTAGAGTTTCATCATAATCAGTGCATTCACCTCCCTATATTCTTTTATATTCTGTCCCAAAGCTCATGCTTCCCATGCACACAGGATGGTGCTGCCTTCTCTGTGTTTGTGTCTTGCCTCCAAAGGACCTGTGCCAAACTGTTTGAAGCCAATGCTGACCAGTCTATGGATCAAGTCTTCTTCTCCTAGAGAATCTCCAAATGGGTTTCCATGTGCATCCATAAATCCTACACAGTATCTAATGTGCATAAGATAGTTACAATTAGGGATGTAACCAGTTAACTGGCAGCCTGGGGCAGCCTGCTGAGCTGCTGGCAGGGTGGGGGTGCTACAACCTGGGCAGGATCCTGGTTAACCAGTTAAATGCCTTGTGGACATCTCATGGCAAGGCATCTGTTGGGCAGCAACGTGGCACCCAGTACACATGCCTCTACGCCATTGCCCAAAGGGCAGCTCCAGACTCCGTGGTAGGCTGTGCTATACTGCAGCTTACTCTTATAACCTCACATCTACCTCCACACCAACCACTCTCACTACTCACTCAAGCTTGGAATACCTATAGGGACCGTCACTTGGAGGAGATTACCTATAGCTGGCGGTTCCTTCAGATATATGGTGCCTGTTTTTATTCCAGTACCCATCCTCCATCCCCTTTTCTGTGAAGTGGTCTAATTCAGGCAAAAGAGGGGTCACTGGAGAGGCACCAAGCCATTCATCCTATTGTACCCTTAGTTGAGAGCACAAGGGGATACACGTGTGGGTCAACTGACACTGGTAAGAAAACATATGCTCCCACATTTGGAATACAAATAGGAACCGTGTATCTTAAAGAACTTCCAGTTACAGGTAAGTAACCTTTTTTGGCTTATGGGAGAACAATTTATAACTAGTTTTCACTTATTTGACATCCTGGTTGGTTTGAAATGTTGGTACTATGTCTGATTGCTACATGTCTGATTTCAGGAAATTCATTTTTATGGGCTTGGATGATGTAAGCACTTGGATAATTATCAAATGGAGAAAATCCCTACTGAGTTTGTATAAAGGAGAACTCTGTTTTAATTTTACTAAATATTGACACTGTATAAAAAATTTGCATTGACATATTAACCAGAAACGTCTTGATGTAGTACAGGAAGTGTCGCCCATTTATTGACACTTCTGCTTTCTGTGATACTCTCATTATAGAAGTGTTCTGCCTTGTGACACAACTTGGACAGTATGGACAGTTTTCTGTTTGCCGGGAAGTGGAATATGCCAGTTCATAGCAAATTTCTGAGGCGTGTGTGACTGTGTGACTTTTTAAAACCTATTGCCATACACTCAAGTGTCTCATGTTCAGTAGTGTTGGCTTTATGGCTTTTCTGAATCTGACTGGAGATTAGATGTGGTCTTCCAAATGTATTGTATTGTACTTGGGCAAATGAAGGCTTAGAGTTTACATTTTCTAGAAGGTAATGGAGTGGATGTTTCATAAAGGGATTCATCTTAAAATGGTTAAGCTAACCTTAACATGAACATTTATAAAGATATTCAGAAAAATCCGTAAGGCGTTTTAAAGTGGTTTTTTTCATTAGTATTCTATTTGAAGGTCTTATAGGACTGCTTTTTCCTATAACTTTGAATGTGGAAAACTCCAGTTTCACTTGTGTGCTTCTATGACCTGAGGTGGACAGGTCCTATAGAAGCTTTGATGGTGCTTGAGAGATACTATCACTGTGGAGGCTGTCGGGAAATTGGAGGTTAGAAAGTGCTCAAGGGCTCAAGTAGCCCATGAAGAAAATTGCTGTTCATCTGGCTTGTAGACTTGTCAACTAAGTGTGCCCTTGGATTTGGTTTTTTCATAGCTATTGATGATAACCTGCCCTTTCATGATTTTTGAACTGTGAATGTGCTGCTAAGACACTTATGTTGCCTATTAAACAGCATTCTTTGGGGTGGGGTTAGTTCTCTTATGTAACTAACTTCTTAACTCTTTCCTAGCTCAATGTCCATTGCTGCAAGTCTTGTGAGTGAAGATACAAAGACCAAGTTTCTGAACAAAATGGGCCAGCTGACTACATCAGGTGCCATGCTGGCCAATGTGTTTCAGAGGAAGAAGTAAAATTTGGAAAAGAAAATCCAACACTAAAATGGACCTCATGCAGACTCATTCCTTGTACTTGAAGTACTTGCCTTTTTATTTCCCCTGTCTGATGTTCTGGTAGTATAATTTTATTCTAACCTCCAAAGATATTTGCACTGCTTTTGAATATCGCTGTGTATCTCTTAATTTTGGGTTATCTGTGGTTGATCTAAAACTGAATTCATTGTCTGTACCAAGTCCCTGTTCTGTGTTCTTGTCTTTCCAGCATTTTTTTATATAGTGAAAGGTATTTTTTATTTTATTTTCTGACAAAATATCAGCAAATATCTGTATTATACACGGAGCTATTACAATGGTACTTAAAATAATGTAAATTTGAAGTCATTGTCATAAAGTAATAAAAGTGGAGATTACTTATGTATTTAAATTATGAAAGAGTAGTGCAGAATTTTTTATGTTTCTAAAATGACAAGGAAGAGCCACCAGCACTAATCTTTTTGGATTGTGTTTTTGTAAGTACTGTACATCTCCAGTCTAGTGGAATAGCAACACATGTATAGAACTGCTTGCACTGCGTCGATCCATGGGAAACATTCAGCATTTCAGATACTTCAGTGCATATTCTGTAAGTAATATATCACATTCTCCAGATAAACCTTTTCTATATGTCAGGGTTTATTTACTTTAACTGAAGCACTTTAACTATTAGTCTACCTACTGGAAGGCACATGTCCTGATTTAAAAAAAGTATTAATTAAGATAAAATCTTGTCCAAGTAATCAAGCTAAAAAGGTCTGACTCCTTTAGGGTCTTATAAGATCCTTAGGCCAGAAGCAATGCACTGTTCTTGAGATGCCTACAAACAGAACAAACATCCACAAAAGCAAAGAGCAATCTCTTTTTCCCCTCGCTGCACAGCAGTATGCAGTATGATGGCTAAAAGCAATAATTAGATCAGTTAGTTAACTAACTCTCAATTCAAACTTTAGAAGAAAATATTTTCATGAGAATTTGTGGCATACAAAATGTCCTAACATATTCTCAAGTAGATTATATACATATTTATAAAATCCATATAGCTATTTTTAACAAATAAAAGCCACCCTTAAAATAAGTATATTTAATTATCAGGGTTTTTTTTCTTAATAAAAATATTGGCAAAAAACATCTCCATAAATTCAAAGTCTGTCCTTGTTCTTATGGACACTTCCACTATATTTTGGTTAATGTGTGAACATCTAAATGTAAACTAAAATGCACATGTGAAACAAAATCTAGATGGAAAAAGTGCACGTTTCTCTGAAAGTGTCACAATATCATTAGAATTGGATTTGGTGGCAATTTGGGGAAGTGAAAGGAGTGGGTAGATAATGAAAGGATAGATTTCTGAAACAGAATGCTGATGTAGTGTTCCCCATGCACCCAGCTAATACCCACTAAAATATTCTTAACTGCTTTGTATCCTTGCCTAATGGCACTGTATGCACAATGCCCAACACACTTGCAATGTAAGAACCTGTTGCACTCACATAACAATCCTTTTATACTGTACAGAGAGGCCTTTTAACAGATAGCTCAGTTCCTGTCCATCGCTTGTTACCATGAACTAATTGTGCTCTTACACACTGACTGTGAAATGAGGAGACATTCCTGAGAAATTGGAAGTGGCTGACTTCCCTGTCAATTGTTCTGTTATAAATAAAGAATTTTGCATATGAATTTTGTATATCAGTTTCTATTTTATTTAAAAATGTGCATTATACAACTGGATTGTGATGTGTGTATATGCCATGCATAGACTGTTAGTTTACCTGATTTACAAAGTATGCATGGCACAGATGTGGATGACTATACCCAGGAGTGGCAATAAGAGGAAAACTACATAAGACCCAGTGGGCCTCATCTTGGAAAGGTAGGTGAGGGAAAGTCACACAGGAATTGCATTCCCATACCAAACCTCCACGTGTGAAATGGAGAGATGGGAAAGGAATGGAGCACAGATTGCAAGGTCCATCAAAGTCATTAATGCTTCATGAGGTCCCAAGGACTCCCATCATTCTGTTTTTAATCCAACCAAATTCTAAGACTGTGCAGCAATGCTGGCATAATTGGAGTTAAATGGAATGTGTATGAATCATGAGAAATACGCATATACAGCCCCCATATACAGTCTAGTTAAGTAGTCTTTTTAAAGACTCTGCATGTATGACTGAGAGAAGGCTGGAGTCAGGGCAATACCTGTATAGTGAAGACCAAAAAATTGAAGTTTTGTGACTTCAGAGAAGTCTGGTTAGTGGATGAGTGTGCCTTTTGCTGTGATCTCAGGGCTGTGTGGTAGTACATGGTTGAGGTGTTTACATTTGTCTCTTACACACAAAAACATGCTAACATTTAAAGGTGGATGGTAAAGCATTGAGAAGTTGGAAAATTCCAAAATTAAGGTTGCCTGTGCATATTTATATCAGCCACGTTCATATGCATTCTTATGGCGTTTAATTATGATCATGAACTATTTTTTTTCCTACGGGTGCTCTGCTTTAGTCAATGCATCGACGAGACATTGCTTAATGAAGGAGCAGCTATTCTTTTATTTTCTCATTCTGAGTGATTGAGTGTCTTTACTGCATATTATTCAAACACTGCTTTTAATAGAGAATTATTAATTTTCTCATTGGCTTTTCTGAGACACTTCAGTATCTGATTGCATCACAGCCATAATACATTTATTTTCACAACACTCATGTGAGATGAAAGTATTGCCATCACGTTATAGATTAGAGGCCCAGAGGTCAAAAGTATGCAAGGGTTTTTCAAAATACATAACATTATGTAACACTTGATATGTTCAAAGGACAGTTTCCATTGACTTCACTTGCAGCCATGAGTGTTCAGCACTTATGCCAATCAGATCGTGAGTTTCAGAAAATGAGGAACACACAATTTAGAGATGACCAGTGAGAAGTTGGGTAAATGTGACTCGCTTGCCAGGGATCAAATCTGGCAGGGCAGCATTTAACTGCCTTAACCATGAACCTGTCACTTCTCTGTCTACAGTCCCCTGCAACATAGTGTACAGATAAATCTTCTTTACTATGCTGGTTAATCTGCAGGATCTCATCCTCTGCCAGTGATACTCAGAACTTAGTCATTCAGAAGCCAAATTAGTAATCAACATTATCCAAAAAAGACATAGAAGCATGAATTAATAGTTTAATTTAGTGTGTGTGTGTGTGTGTGATTTATACGCAGCAAAATGACATACCAGCTAGTCTACAATTTGGATAATACAGTAAAAGCATCCTGATAGTTTAATAACTGGTAATATTGAAACACGCTCCGATTTAATTATGTGCTGCAAAAAGTGACAGAAGACATAGTAAAGATCCCCTTTCAGCCCCTAAGCCTCAGTTCTGAGTTCCACTGCTGCATTTGGACTAGCATTAGAGGCAAATTGAATGCTTTGTCAGTGGGTTTCACAGATATTTGCTGACCAAGGAATGGTGGGAAAGTTGCATATGACCTCTAGGAAAACTTACTTCAAATTGCTAAACGTTGTAGGTATCTTTTTCAAGCAAATTACACATATGCAGCAAAATGACATACCAGCTAGTCTACAATTTGGATAATACAGTAAAAGCATCCTGATGGTTTAATAACTGGTAATATTGAAACACGCTCCGATTTAATTATGTGCTGCAAAAAGTGACAGAAGACATAGTAAAGATCCCCTTTCAGCCCCTAAGCCTCAGTTCTGAGTTCCACTGCTGCATTTGGACTAGCATTAGAGGCAAATTGAATGCTTTGTCAGTGGGTTTCACAGATATTTGCTGACCAAGGAATGGTGGGAAAGTTGCATATGACCTCTAGGAAAACTTACTTCAAATTGCTAAACGTTGTAGGTATCTTTTTCAAGCAAATTACACGTAATTCTATAGTAGATTTCTAACACAGAGTCGGGCAAAATACTCCTCCACCTCTCTTCTTCACTCGTACCAAACCATGTAATTCTATAGTAGATCTCACTCTAACACAGTCGGGCAAAATCCTCCTCCACCTCTCTTCTTCACTCGTACCAAACCAGCAGAAGTGGCCTGCAGCCTTCATGTGCTGCCCCCTCACTCCTGTGGCCTACAGCCTTCATGTGCTGCCCCCTCACTCCTGTCACAATCTTACAGCTTCCACGGGCTGAAAACAGGCCCACGGGAGCTCCCTGAGCTGTGCTTATGGCACAGGCAGTGTGCAAAGTACCTCCTTTCAACCAACAAGCAAGAGAGCACATGGCCCTACAGCTGGTTGCTTTGAGTGGCATACAGAGTGAAGAAGGCCGGGAGCCTGCCTGAGTGGGCCACTTGGCTGCTGGCTGGGAGCTGCTTATGTAAGTGCCTCCCAGTCAAGTCCTGCAACTAGCATGCCAGCTCCTTTCTCCTACCAACCCTATGCTCCCCCTTCTGCAACGCTCCCCCTGTCACACCCTCTGCATAGCTTGCTCCTGCACCCTCCCAGACCATGCGTCTCAATCTCATGTCCCTGTCACAATTCTCTTCTTCACCTAAGCCCTCTCCCAGATCCTACATCCTCTCCTGCAGCCCAGTCCCCTAACCTGAGCTACCTTCTGCGCCTCCCAGATCCTGCACCACCTCCATTAGTAAAGAAGTGTGTGGCCTTCGGCCACTTAGAAATGCTTGGAATGCCCCCCCTCCTCCCTCTGTAAAATAACAAAGTTTCTGATTGCCTCATTGCAGGTGCTTATGACCTAATATGTTTGTTTGGTCTGGTACTAGACAGGAATGGCAAAATAGTCAATGTAGAAAAAGAAGCAATCAAAAATATCTGTTGTCTATATCTTAGCAGAGCAAATTAAATAATTGCAATTCCTGCAGAAAGGCAGGAGGTTAAACCATAACTGCTAACAACAATGGCTAACTTGAAATCTACAGGGCCAGATAACTTGCGCCCAAGAATTTTAAAATAATGGACTGTGGAACGTTCTGACCCATTGATGTTGATATTCAGCAAATGGTGGGATACTGAAAAACTTCCAGAATACATGAAAATGACTAATGTGCCAATATTTGAAAAAGATTCATATTTTGTGTAGCTATATGCTGGTTAGCTTGACATCACTCCTGTGAAAAATCTGTGTAAAGTCTGGTGTGAGATGGAAGCAGTAAAGATTAAAAGCTTTGTTTTTATTTATTGTATTTTCATAGCAACTACCAACCTAGCTTTGGGGCCAGGACCCTATTGTGTTGGGAGCTCTTCCAACAGAACAATGAGACAGTCCCTGCCCCCAAAAGGTTATATACTTGCCAGTCAACATGGCTCAATGGGAATAGGGTATGAGAATGTCATGGGGGGTTTAAGAGAGGGCTGATTAACAAAGGTAATCGGTGCCATATACTTCAGCTTTGGTGAGGTATTTGACTGAGGACTGCGTAACATTCTGGTTTAAAAACTAGCACTACACAGAACCAGTACAGGCTGTCCTGTCCATAAGGTATGGAGTAACCTGCCCGAGACCCCACATTTTGATGGGGCCTTAGTGCAGGCTCTGGGACCAGCAGTAGGGGTTGAGCCTGCCCCCATGCTCACGAGCAGCAGGAAGTGGAGATACCCAGCCTAAGCAATTGCCCTCTGCTCTTCTCCCTTCTCTCTCCCCCCGGCCACGTCCACAATCCCAGCTGTGTCAGTCAGGAGAGGGGGCTTGGAGGAAGGGGTGGGACAGCCTTCTGCACTAGGCAGTGGGAAGAGGAGTGACTGAGCATGGTGCCCCTCCCCCTTTCTTTCTCTGAGCAACGTGGGCCCAGGCATTAAAGAAGAGTCTGTCACTGGCAGCAGGGAGTAGCAGCAGGAAACAGAGGGACCTGGCCCCCGCCCGC